TCCACCCAGACCTCTCCACCAGAGAGCCCTACTGTTGGCTCTTCATCAGCTCAGACTTCTAGAAAAAGGGTGGCAGTTGAGGCAGCTGAGGAGCTCCCTGCAAAGATTCCTAGGACAGCAAAAAAAGGGGGGAAAGGGCAGCTCAAGTCCTCATCGCACAAAACAGCTCACAGAAAGCGCACACAGGATGGCAGAGGGAGCCCTCATCCATTCCAGGTGATCCCTGTCTTTCCTGGTAGCCCCCCTCTTGTGGGTGTTTCTTCTGATTCAGAGGATTCCCTTTCTGAACCTGGTTCCCTTTCTCAGATAGGAGATGGTACAGGGGTTTTTGATTCTCCTCAAAGTGAGGATGACTCCTTGGAGGATGCAGGCCCTTCTCCGGTGGCAGTTCAGGCTTCCTCTTCCCCGGGATTTTTGGGGTTTGAACCAACCCCTGCTACTACTCCTTTTATTACCCATGGTGTAGCTGCCATCAGCTCTTCTGCTACTGAAAAGGGGATAGCTATGGGCCTCAAACGTAAGAGATCCTCTGGCTACAGTTCTAAATCTAAATCGGAGGGGGTCTAAATCCAAGAGTAAAAAGAAACACTCTTCTAGTAAGGATACTGCTAATCCTTCAACTTCTAGGTCTTCCACAGCAGAGGACAGGGTTGAGCAGCCCCCCCCCCCCCCAGTGATTCTGACCTCTTTGAGGACAAGGATCTGGCCCCCGACTAACCAGCTTTTGTGGGGTTGTTCAAACCGGCTCTTTTCCTATCCTTACTGTTTAAGACAAATAAGATTGCTGGTTTTAAGCCTACCCCGGATCCTAAGCCTGCAGCCTCTGACACTAGGGATTCTGAGGATCCTCTTTTCCTTGAACCTACGGTTGAGAAGGAGGTGCAAAGGCAATGGGCCTCTCCGGGCACCAGTCCTCTTCCTAATTCTCTTTATAAGCGCCTGTATAATGTAGGACCTGCCTTAGTTAAGGCTCTAGACCTTCCAGCCATCAACCTCCCTGTGGTAGCTCAGGCCTCTCCTAATGCAGCTGCCAGTGGTCCTGAGGATTCGTTTAAGCCCGAAGACAAGCGCTTGGAACAAATGCTTGTCAAAGGTCACCAGGCCTCTGCCTGGGCTATTAGGGCTTCCACTTCTTTCTCATTTGTTAGAAGATCTGCTCTTCTTTGGATAAAACAACTTCAGAGCAGGATCCCAAATAAAGACACTAGGGCCCATGGGCATTTAAACAAATTAAAAGCAACTCTTGAGTTTTCTGCAGATGCTGCACTTAACACAGCTCGCTTTGCCTCCAAAGCCACTACTTCTATGATCACCTATAAGTGACTACTGTGGCTAAAAATTTGGCAAGCCGATGCCAGACACAAGTGGCGTCTGGCTTCATCTCCCTTTTCAGGGGGTAATCTGTTTGGAGCCCCTTTGGGACCCTTATTAGTGGAGTCAAAGGACAAATGTAAGGTCTTCCAATCAACTTTCCACAAAGCGGACAATAGATATTCCTCTACCTTTCGAGGGCAGGACAGGGGTTTCTCCAACTCCCATCTGCAGCATCAGTCACTCTCTAGGCAGGGATCTAACCAACAGCAAGATAGGTCCAATAGGACCTTCCAACAATATCCTCCTAGAAAATCCTTTGTGGGGGGCTTCAATCGATCCTACAGATTCAGAATTGACTGTCTTGAGGATCTTCCAATAGGGGGTTAATTGACAGTGTTTGCAGACTGATGGGAGGACATCTCAACAGATGCTTGGGTCTTGCAGACCATCGGATGGGGTCTGACTCTGGAGTTTCTCTCTATTCCCCCGAGGCATTTTGTCCCTTGCCCAGTGTCTCAGGACAGTCTCAAGATACAGTTGGTGGAACAGGCCATTTGCCATCTTCTTCAGATCAGGGCCATCTAGGCTGTTCCTAAGGGCCACAAACGTCAGGGGTTTTGTGGTTCCACAAAGCTGTTTGTGGTTCCAAAGGCCTCGGGAGGATGGAGACCAATTCTGGATCTGAAAATCTTGCAGTGATATGTCCTTTATCAACGGTTCAAGATGCACTCCCTGCAGTCCATCCTGGAGAGAGTCTGCAAGGGCGACTTCCTCTCCTCGGTGGACCTCACAGAGGCGTATCTTCACATTCCTATCTTCCACGAACACAGGCAGTTCCTTCGATTAGAGTACAGGGAAAATCATTACCAGTACCCGGTGCTCCCCTTCGGGCTGTCATCAACCACAAGAGTATTCACAAAAGTGCTAGCGGTGGTGGCTGCCCACCTCCGCTCAAGATTAGTCAGAATTCAAGTATATCTAGACAACATTCTCCTGCTGTCCCCCTCCATCAGACAGGATCACAGGAGCATTCAAACTACCATTCAAGTCCTCCAAGGGCTAGGCTTCTCCATAAATCTGGCAAAAAACTCTCTAAGACCAGACACCCGCATCCTTCACCTGGGAGCTCTAATAGACACTGTGCAGGGCACAGTGACATTCTCCCCCTGTCTGCCTCTCTGGCTAATGTATTAGACTTTCTCCAACAGGGCCTCACTAAAAGTCTTTCGCCAAACAGGTTAAGGCGTCAGATGGCAGCCCTCTCTACAGTCTTGACTCTACCGACAGGTGAGCCCATCTCACATCTGCCATAAATACGTCAGTTTCTCCATGGAGCGACCAATATTCATCCTCCGACTGTCCACAGATACCCAAACTGGGACTTAACCAAAGTTTTAGACTTTCTGACCAGGGTTCCGTTTGAGCCATTGTGGACTGTATCACTTCAACATCTCACACTCAAGGTCTGTTTCCTAATCGCAATGACGTCAGCAAGCTGAATCTCCGAACTCGCAGCTCTGTTGATTAGAAGCGACATTTGTATATTTCATGCAGCTAGGGTCGTTCTCCTTCTAGATCTGACGTTTACACCCAAAGTTAACTCAGTCTTTCATAAGGTTCAGGAACTTATTCTCCCTAATTTTTGTCCCAATCCTTCTCATGGGTTAGAAAAAAAGTGGCATTCCTTACACCTTTGCAGGACTTTACATATGTATATCAAACATTCAGCTATGTTCAGGCATTCTGAAGCCTTACTAGTCTCTTTTCAGCCAGCTTCCCTGAGTTCTAAAGTCTCCTCTTCCACCATAGGATGCTGGTTTAGAGCATGTATCTCTAAAGCTTACTGAGTCATTGATCTCGTTCCTCCACAGGATATAACGGCTCATTCTTCTCATAGTGCGGCCATGTCAGGTGCCTGGGCTACTCAGGCATCAGTGGAGGAAATTTGTATGGTGGCCATTTGGACTTCTCCCATTCCCTTTATCCGTCATTACAAGATAGACAGGTTTGTTTCGGCTGAAGCGGCCTTTGGAAAGAGGATTTTACAACAAGTCCATTCTCTGGACTCCTCTTCCAGAGAGACCGGATCCCTCCCTTAATTAAGGACTGGCTTGGGTATGTCCCAACGTGACTGCTGTCTCCACCAATCATGGAGAATGGGTATTGGTCCCTACCTGATACGCTCATTCTCGCGGCAGGTGGAGACAGCAGTCACCCCCGCCCTGTTATGGTCTAGATTCTCCTTCATTAGGATTAGGTCAGTCCTTTTTTTCCTTTTCTTGGCTTCCCTTTATTCTCCTTCTCCATATCAACTATAGGTCGGTCTACATCATGTCTTCGTCTAAAAGCTGGGGAAGAGCAGCAAGGAGGAAGGCTTTATAATCTGTAGACTCAACCCTATTGGTTATTGAACAGAGTGAACCCTACGTGACTGCTGTCTCCACCTGCTGCGAGAATGAGCGTATCAGATAAGTACCAACGCCCATTCTCATTCTCTAAAACCTTCTCAACCTGATAGTCCCAGTGGTTTTTGCTGTACTCAAATCCAAACTTTTGCCACAATTTCCAGTGAATAATCTTAGCAATGTGGTCATGGTGTTGTAGGTAGTCAATTTGTGAAATTTTGCTGCATCCACTGATCAAGTCGTCGACTGTCTCATCTTTCTCATTACAGAGGCGACATTTGCTGTTGGTGGTAACATGTTGATTTTTTGCCTTCATGCAGTTTGTGGCTAAGGCTTGTTCTTGAGCTGCCAAAATAAAGCCTTCTGTTTCTTTTTTCAGTACTCCTGATCTTAACCAGTTCCAAGTTAGTTTTTGGTCAGCTTTGCCTTCAATACTTTTCAAGTATTGGCCATGGAAAGCTTTGCTTTTCCAATTTTCAGCTCGCTTCTCAATTACTTCTTTCTTATATTCAACTTTTAACTTAGTTGTCTTCAAAAAGCCTCCTTTATTTACTTCCTTAATCATTGGTTCTTTACTTTTCTGGATGTAATCATTCAAGCTGTGTCTTTCTTCTTCCTCAGTCTGTTTATTTGTAGGAGTCCTCGACCACCCTCTGGTCTTGGTAGATATAATTGGTCAACATCACTTTTAGGGTACAAAGCATGGTTCATTGTCATAAGCTTCGTTGTTGTTGTTGTTGTTGTTGTTGTTGTTGTTGTTGTTATTTGTATAAAAATACAGGAAAATAGGTGATATGTGTGGGTGCATCTATGTTCAAAAGAAATGATACAGATTCCTCATTATGAAAGTGTTTTCTATGCACGAGAAAAATATTCATATATATGCATAAAAGGTATACATTTTTGTCACAGATTTCTTACTACCAGTTTCCAAATTAGAAATTTCTCTTCCAAAATATCTACCAGTGCTATCCACATTATATAGTTTTAAATCTCATTTGAAGATATAGCTACTCCCCTGGGCATTTGCAGGCTTTTAACTGTGGTAAGAACAATAATCTTTAAATTATTAAACCCTATTGTTATATTACTTATTTTATTTTCACCTAAATTAATAAAATGTTTTTGTGGAAGATAATTTTATATATTTAGTTTTTGTACACACCTCTGGCTTCATTTGGAAGGAAAAACAGTATATGAAAGAATCAATCAATCAATCAATAGTATTAGTAATAATTTCTATTCAAGTCTTTAAATCATGAGGCAGTATAGCAGTCTTACCATTTATAATGCCTGGATGGATGGATGCAAGAATCTGAGCTTCCTCTATTTCCTTCTCATTGGACTGCAACTTTTCTTGCAATTCTTTCTTTTTCATTGATAGGTCATATAATTCCTTTTCTTCAGATAAAAATGTTTTTAAAATTATTTCATGAAAACAGTTCAAAGTACAATTATGTCCCACATTATTAAAAATCATGCATAGATCATTTCATTAAAGTGGTGCATGTATGTATGTATGTATGTATGTATGTATGTATGTATGTATGTATGTATGTATGTATGTATGATGTATGTATGTATGTATGTATGTATGTATATATCAGTGATGGATTTTTTAAATTTTTAGGATCTATTCTGTAGGTGTGGCCTGTTTTGTGGAAGTGGCTTGGTGGTCATGTGACTGGGTGGGCATGGCCAAGTTGAAAAATGTGATAAAACTCACTTAACAACATTCTTGCTTAGCAACCAAGATTTTGGGCTCAATTGTGATCATAAGTTCTCTGCCCCACCCTCTCTCTCTCTCTCTCCCTCCCTCCCTTCTTGTGTCTCTCTCCCCCACTTATTTTCTTTCTTTCCCTTCCTTCCTTCCTTGTCTCTCTCTCTCTCTCCATCTTTCTTTCTTTCTCTTTCTCATTATTGATTTCTCTCTCTCTCTCTCATTCACACACATACCGTACCCCTCATGTCGGTCACTGACAGCTCTCAAAGAGAAGGAAGGACTCCTGCCTTGGGAAGGAGTTGGACTAGATTACCTCCATGTTCCCTTACATTCCTCTATGTTCTCTGTCCCATTTAGTCACAAACAGCCCCTTTCACTTTAAAATGGGTCACAAACTCCACTCATCCTGCGTGCGCCCTGTCCCACCCACAGCTTTCGATCTTCTTCTCCGCCTTGGTTCTGCAGGTGGGAGGTGCTGCTGCTGAGGTGGCATGGTGGGTGCAGTGGTGATGGCAGTCGGGGCACACAGCAAGCCCAGGAGCAGTAGCCACCACCCCCCACTGCCATCACTCATTCTCTCTCAGGCCTTCAGCTGGGCACGCAGAGGGGGCGTGTGTGGCGACAGCGAGGGCAACTGAGCGAGGGCAGCACTTTGGTGGGCAAAGAAGAGCCAAGCTGAGAGGGGAAAAAAACTCTGCCAGGTGTTTGTTCTTTTGCTGCTTGAACAGCCCCCTCATTTTCAATTGGTCCATAGGTCCAGGGAGAGGGATGGAAAAGATGGATTCCTTCTCCCCCCCAATTGGAAATGAGGTGGCTGTCAACACACTGTGTCCTGTGTGGCATGTTGAAACAGAAGAATTAACAGGAGGGGAGCTTGGCTGTTTAAAAAGCGTGGATCCCTCCTGGATCCATTGCCATAGATCGGCCGTAGAGGCGCAATCCGGTTAAGGGCCCTTGCCGCCGCCGAGTTCCAAGCAGCGATCAGAGTCCCGACCGAATCGCAGGCGAGAGTATCAGGTATAACACCAAGCGCCATCTGAAAGCCCATAGGGTCCATAAGGCGCCTGGGGTGGAACCACCTAGTCGGTTCCTCCTCCCTACAGTGGGGGATTGGCCTCTGAAACTCGAGCCTAAGTAGGCAGTGGTCCGACCATGACAGGGGCAAGATCTCAATGCCCCTCAGACCAAGATCACAACCCCACTGCTCCGAGAGAAATACGAGGTCAAATGTGTGACCCGCCGAGTGAGTCGGATCCTGAATTACTTGGGTCAAGCCCATGGCTGTCATGGTTTAATGGTTTAATGGTTTAATGGTTTAA